AGGGGGCTTGGAGCAACCTGGGCCAGCAGCACTGCTGTCAGCCCTGGCCACCACAGGCACCTGGGGAGAGCAGCAGGGCAGTGCTGGAGTCACCAGCCCTGGGAATGCTCAGAAGACGAGTGGATGTGGCACTTGGGGACATGTTTAGTGGACAGGGTGATCGTCAAAGGTTGGACTTGATGATCTTGGAGGTATTTTCCAACCTTAATGATTCCCTGAATGACCACAGGGGCGGGACACACCCATGGGCGGGCCGGGCTGCCCGGCGGGGAGGGGGCTGGGCTGCCCGCAGCAGCAGCTCTATTTACTCAGCCGCAGCAAAGCCGCTCATCCTTCTTAGCTCCCTGTAAGCCACAAGTCTAACCCCTTTAGATCACACTCCGGCAGGGCAGGAATTTAGTGCAAGGGATATCAAGCCAGGGCTTAGGTGGTGTTTGCCCTAGTTTATGAGAGCTGTGACATCACAAGGAGCAGTGCCGGGGGCACAAAGGGACACAGAGTCTGCAAGGCAGAGACCTGAGCAAGAACTGAGAAGCCCTTTCACAGCTGGGCAGTGGGTGCTGGGCTGGGGGAGGGCAGGCTGGGTCTGAGCCCCCCTGAACGGGGACTTAAGAACAGGAGGCTCCAAATGGTGCCTCGAGTTTGAAGTCCCTCAATCCCATTGCCAGCCAAGGTGAAGGAGGATGCAAGTGGATGCAACCTGATCCAAGCCATGGCAGGGGGTGGGATGAGATGGTCTTTAAGGTCCCTTCCAACCAAACCCTTCTGTGATCCTATGAAATATTCCAGACAGGACAGACCAAGCTACTGTAGCTGCATCTATGCAGGGGATTTTGGATGTGATCACACCTGTGCATGTTCCAGGACAGGAAGGACCCAGGCACTGGGAACAGCACAACAATGACACATTCAGGGGACAAGAAAAGGGCTCCAGGCCCTGAACATCTCAGAGGGCACTGCACAGCAGCCCTGCTGCCCTCCTGGCTCACCTTTGTCCCCAGAGCATCAGCGCTGATCTCCTCACTGGCACTGCCTTTTCCAGCCTGTCATTGTCTAGTCTTGGACTGGGGGATGGACAGACTGAGAATTTCTCAGGGAAGAAGCACAGGCTTAAACAAAACATTGTAGGGACTGCACAGAAGTGAAAACTAACACAAATCTCTGCTCCAAAATGCAGGTGTTTCCTGGGCTGTGTGCTCTGAATGTTTCTTTCAAACAAATCTTTTATGGACTCTCTGAGAGTGGAAAAGGTAAATGCAAGGAAGGGCCTGGCCAGTTCCCTCTGGGGTAGCAGCACCTGTCCCAGGGTTAGATGTGCCTGGACACCTCCTGCTGTACTCAGAGACAGCTTCCCCCTGCAGGTCCTCTCCTTTCCAACCGCCCTTCTGTGTCACAGCTCTGTTTCAGGATGGAGCAGTGGCAGTTTTGAATGAATCCTCTTGTCTGTCCCACGTTCACTTGGCCAACTGACTCTGCTGTAGAGCACTTTGTGTAGGTCTGGCTCTGAGACCTGGGTCACCTCAGTCAGGGAAAAGGTGCTTAAGGAAATCTGGCTTTACCAACACCTCCTTATCCCAGAGAAGATGAAATAATTTCCAACAGGATCAGGGGTCCAGCAGGAAAGCAGACAGCAGGTCTGCACCTGTGCAGAACCCAAGCTGTAAGAGGCACCAACACTCCAGGCTATGTCAACACTATGCTGGTAAAAGACTATGGCTGAACTGAAAGGTAAAAATCCTCCCCAAACAAGCAAAAAGGTGCAAAAAGAGCCTGAGAAGAAAGGCAGTGATAACTGCAGAAGTTGCTAAGTACAGTGAAAGGACACAAAAGGCCTTTGTCTGCACTGCACAGAGGTAGGTGACCACGTTATCTGCACCTACACGATCTGGAGTCTCTTATATAACCACAGTATCTGCAATGTTTTATCCAGCAAGAGCAAAAATAGAATTGTGCCTCTGCCTGGAATTCCTGCAGCAGGGGCAGGGACGAGAACAGCCCCCTCAGCCTTCCCTGCCACAGAACCAAACTGAACTGGGAGGTTATTGGGGACCAGAAGGGACCACCTGCCCTTTCGGGTTCCCAGGAAAGGTTTTAGGAAGCAATCACTGGGCTTTCCAAAGGAGGCAGCAAACCTGTCCACCCTTCTCCAGATGTGCAGCTGTTGCCTGTGGCAGCATTCCATGCACACATCTGGGCTGGGAATGCTGAGAACCCAAGTGAGACCTCTGTATGAAGGACTTGTGGTCTCATTCTTGATTACTGCAGGTTCCTGAGCTCAGCCTAAAGGCACACCTGCCTAAAATTGTGCCTAATAATACTTTGGAATAATCTGTGTGGGAATCAGGCCCAGCTCCACTCCCCAGACTAACTGGTCACCAGTAATTAGCATTTCTGGGGTTCCTAAGCCTGGCCTAGAGAGGGAATTCAAAGCTTTCTCCCCACAGCACACCATTGCCAAAGAGGATGAGAGGGACTCACCAGAGTGGACAGTGTTTGACATGTTTGTCCTCCAGGTTCTGCTGCAGGGAACTGCCTGACGCTCAAAAGAATATTTACAGTCCAAGGAAATTAAAACCTTCACCCAAATGTCTGAGCTGGGATCTTTAAAGACATCTGTGGAGAAGGACAGAACAATCCTGGTGTGAGAAAAAGAGGTATTTCATCAGCATTAATAAACCACAAAAATAAGCCAAGGGTGAAATGAGGGATTCTGCCAGCCTGGGGAGTCTGGCTGCCTCCAGGACACGAGTGTTGGCTGGGCTGTGAACTGAGTTAGTGACAGCTCCGCAGGCAACTCGAAAACTGTCCCGGAATAAATCTTATTAAATGTACAGAAACATCATTATCTGTGAAACAGCTGTGAAAGAAGCCAGAGATTGGCCACCAGGCTGAAGGAGTTGCTGGGCAGTGGGGTTTCCCCAGCCCTGACACACCTCCCTTCATGCTCCCTTCAGCCCCATTCCCACCATCCCTGTGCCGGCCTGGACACACACGGATGTCACCAGGACCCCACGGAAAACATGCTCTTCGTTAGTGGCTCTGTGAGTAGCTAATGAAGGTTGACACCATCCACTGGACACCTTCCTCACAGCAATCTGCAACCTTTGCAAAGCACGTGGGGGCTGTTTCCTTTCCAGGCGGGATTTGTTTGAGATTTTCCAACAAAATAGCCCAGCTGTCTCGAAGAACACAAGGGAGGGCTGACGACGTGCTGCTTGTCCACCTTAAAAACATCAACGCCTTGTTTTAGGAGGGCGCGTTGGCAGCGGGACTGTTCGGCCCAGCCCCTGGGCAGGATGGATCTCGGAGTGCCGAGGTTTGGGTGAAAGGCAGAGCGCTCCTCCGCGCTCCTTGCGCTCCCTCTGCCGGCACCGAGCTCCCAGGAAGAGCAGGGACAGCCTCTGGAACCGCCCCCACCTCCGGGGCTCTATCCACCGCTCCGCAGCAAATTCCACAACCGAACTGTCCTGGAGCGGACAGGGGCAACCTTCCTGAGGCAAAGCCATGCTATGGATCCCCAGGATACAAACTCTGATTATTTTATGGGTGCAAATGTGGGAATGCTTGACTCAAAGCCGTGGTGGGTGAAGCAGCGGGATCCCTGCAGCCCGGAGAACCAAGAGAACCCAGCCATGACCTGACCAGGGGAGAGCGAGCAGACACTGCCTCTGAACAAGAGCAGCAGACTGGAAGCAGGTTTGGAAGCAGATCCAGCCTCCGTGAGGCACCTGGAGAAGGTATTTCAGGTGCAGGTATTTCCAGAGGCTGATCCCGGAGCTGAACGAAGAGGTGAGTTCCTGACAGGAGGTAATGGAGCCTTGGACTGGGGGTTTTCGTGTGTCTTCATAACGACCCTTGAGCACGAGAGCACATTGACAGCTGGGATCTTGCACCCAAAGCTAAACCCGCACCACGAGCTCCCCGAGCCCCGCGGGGCCGCAGCTCTGCCCTTCTGCTCCTGCCGCACGGGCTCAGGGCTCCTCCCCAGGGCTGCCAGCCTGGCCTGGCCGAAATGGAGGGGCTGGGCCCCCGTGGTGCTCGGGGAGCGCAGCTGTTGGCCCGTAACTGTAACCACGACTGGTCAGCAGCCACGACAGCAACGACAGAGACGGAGAAGGCAAAACAGCCCCATAAACAGCCGGGGGGCTGCGCGGCGTCCGGGCCAGCGGCGCGGGGGAGCTCAGAGGCGGCAGCCAGGAGGGCCCGGGTGGGACACCTCGCACAGGTGCAGCCGGGTCCCCCGGTCCCCGCGGCCTCCATCGGCCGCCCCGGTTCCCCGGGACCCCCCGGCCCCGCGGGCTCGGGCCCCCCAGGCCCCGCCCGTTGCCATGGGAACGGCCCGTGCGCGGTGTCCCCGTGTCTCGGCCCCGCCGCTCCGCGTCCCCGGCGCGATGGTTCCGCGAGGGGCGGCGGCGGCGCGAGGAGAGCGCGGCCCCTTTAAGAGCGGCGCCGCCATGATCTGCCTGGTGCTGGGGCTCTTCGCCGGCCTCTTCCACAGCGGTGCGGGACGGGCGGCACCGGGACCCCCCGACCCTGGGCCCCCGTCGGCTGGGACCCCCCCCGACCCCGCGGGCCCGGGATCCCCTCTGCCCGCTTGCCTGAGGGCCCGGGACCTTCCTTGTCCTCTGCCCCCGCGCCTCAGGGACCAGGACCCCCACCCCTGCCCCTGTGCCCCCGCACCCGCGGGCCAGGGGCCCCCTGCCCATGTCCTTCAGCGTCCGAAATCCTGGGGCCCGCCCTGTGCCCCTTTGTCCCTGGGACCCCCCTCCTGACCCTGTGTCCCCCGCGCCCGAGGACCCTTTCCTTTCCTTTCCCCCCCGGGGTCCTGGGACACTCCCTGCCCTTGTGCCCCCGCACCTGAGACCCCAGGACCTCCCCCTGTCCCCGTGCCCGGGGCCTGGCTCCCCCTGCCCGCGTGCCCCAGCACTGGGATCCTGGGACCTCCCTGTGCCCCCTTGGCTGCAGGCCCGGGGGGTCTCCTTCTCCCCCTCACCGCTGTGCCCTGTCCCCGCAGCCCTCGGCGGGGTCAATGAACGCACCTTCGTGGCCATCAAACCCGACGGGGTCCAGCGGCACCTGGTGGGGGAGATCATCCGGCGCTTCGAGAGGAAGGGGCTGCAGCTTGTGGGGATGAAGCTCTTGCAGGTGAGTGGCCGGGCCTGCCCGGGGGGTCCCTGGAGCCAAGGAGCACCCCCAGGCCCCGGCTGTGCTGGTAACTGCAGGGGTTCTGCTGTCACCCAGCTTGCACAGCACCAGCACCAAACCCTCCCAGGGCACAGGGGTGTTGGCACCCAGGTGCCTGAACTGCCTCTCGAGGGTGATGCCAGCTGTGGGGAGCACGGCTGTCCCTGGCTGTGTCCGTGCTCCAGGGCTGGCACTGAGCTGGCAATGTGGAAACTTCTCTCTGTGTCAGGCTGCTGCTGGTTCCCTCCTGGAACTGAGCACCTGTGCAGGAGCTGGACTGTAACACACAGCATCCAGGTTTCCCTGCATCCCTCAGGTAGCTAAGCTAAGCTCTGTGCTCTCTGCAGGCCTCAGAGGAGCTGCTGAGGGAGCACTACGTGGCCCTGCGGGACCGGCCCTTCTACGGCCGCCTGGTGAAGTACATGAGCTCCGGGCCGGTGGTGGCCATGGTGAGTGTGGCCATGTCCTCTGCACCAGGGGACAGGGAGGAAGGACAAGGTTTAAGCAGCATTTGGCTGTTGGCATGATGGAAACAAGGTAGCTTCTTTCCTCAGAGGGTCTCTTGAAGCTGTACTGACCTGTAGGGATGTTTTCTGTGGTAAATTAAACTGTAGCATCACTGACTGGTTTGGGTTGGAAGGGACCTTAAAGCCCATCTCATTCCATCCCCTGCCATGGGCAGGGACACCTTCTACTATCTCAGATTTCTCCAAGGCCTGTCCAGCCTGGCCTTGAGCACTTCTAGAGATATGGAGAAATCCACAGACTATTCTGATTATTTTCCAAAATCAACTTTTGAAGGCTATTTGGAGAGACCCTTTCCTGTCTCTCACCCAGGTGGATCAGAGGGATTCAGAGGACAGATGTGATGTGCTGGGGCACTGTGGGGGCTGATCCTGGTTCTGTTCTCCTGTAGGTGTGGCAGGGCCTGGACGTGGTGAGGACGGTTCGCATGATGATCGGGGAGACGAACCCGGCCGAGTCCAGGCCTGGCACCATCCGAGGGGACTTCTGTGTCGAAGTCAGCAAGTGAGAGCTTTGGCTTCTTCTTCCCTCAGTGTTTCAGGGCATCTCGTCCACACACTCATGTGCCAGGCCTGCCTGAGCCATGTGAGCCTGCACACCTGAGCAGAGGTGCTCCCTTCTGTGCTCACAGCAGAGCTGAGCTCTGCCTCCCAGGCTTGGCTTTGGCAAGAGGAGGAGCCTGGGTTTGTGTGCTTCCCTCTCCCTGAGGCCTCTGTTGAAAGCAGATGGCGTTTGCCTGTGTTTTCCTCTGGGAATCAGGCTGTGAAGAGGAAGGGAGGAGCCCTCTCAGCCTTTTCCTGGGAATAGGTGAAGGTCTTTGGGTGGTGACCTTGGGTGGCCACAACCTGGCTTGTGGTAGACATGGCTCACATTGAACCCTGCTGGCTGAGGTTTCTGTTCCTGGGTGTCCGATACCAAACCACCTTTGACAGAAGGGAGGGGGGAAATCTGGAGGCACAGCTGGAACTACTGACATAAAAACAAGCAAACCACTTGCAGCTCCTCCTGGAGCAAACAAATGGCTCCTCATCATAGGAGGAAGGAGTTCTGGGAATGGGCAGCTCCTGCACATCCATGTCCCACACCCTGAGCTGGAAGAAGGGGGAGGTGTGGTAGGAAAGAATATTGTGGGATAGGACTGGCTCCATTGCTTTAATAAATTGGTCAAGGGGAAATTTTCCAGCATCCTCTTCCACCTTCCTGTGCTGAGTGCCAGCTGATCCCTGTCTCCTCCCCCCAGGAATGTGATCCATGGCAGTGACTCAGTGGAGAGTGCCCAGCAGGAGATCTCCCTGTGGTTCCGCCCGGAGGAGCTCACGTGCTGGGAGGACACAGCCCAGCACTGGATCTACGAGTGAGGGAAGGACACCTTCCTGAGGGGACACAGGACATTTCCATCCATTGCATGGCTGTGGATCCTGCTATGGGATTCCTGTTCTGCCTGTGGGGTCCTGGGAGCTGGGCTGTGTCTGGAACAATGTGCTTCAGCTCCTGCCAAGAGTAACTGTTTCTTTTTTTCTCTCTGCTCTAGTCAGTAGCATTGTTGCTCTGTTTGCTGCAGTATCTTAAGTCCCAAGTAGCTCAAGCTGATTTATTGAAGTATGTCCTGGACTCTGGGCCCGTCCCTGAGTGTTCCCAGCCCTGCCTGGTGCAGGAGAATGTGTGTTCCTTGCTGCTGGGAGAGGTGCTGGTCACGACAAGGTGATGGGATTGACAGAATTTACCTGCATTTCTAGAAGGCTTTTCACCAAAGGCTTTTAAAGAACTAGGCTGCTGTGGGGTGTGGGGGAAAATTCTCCCTTGGGGTAAGAGTGCATTCCAAAACAAGGAATGAAGGATGGAACAATCCCTCTCCCTTGGTGGGAGCTTCATGTGCTGGGGTTGGCACAACCCCACCCAGCTTCAGACACAATCAGTGAGTCCATGGAAAAGTTTCTCCAAAGGCTGTTAAACGCACAGTTTAACTCTGGCTCCAGTTCCTGGACTGGGAGCAGGGAAGCAGCTTCTCCAGCTGTGCTCTGGTTCTCTGGGGCTGCACAGCCCTGGCCTGACCCCACACCCTCGGTCCCACGCTGTCCCTGCCTGGGGACTGACACAGGCTGGTGAAGCTGCAGCACTGGGGCAGCCAAGGAATAGAAGGGGGAGAGTGAGGCAGGGAAGGATTTGTGGGTTTGGGGCTCAGGAAGGACTAGGAGGATTATTTAGTCCTCTCTTGTGCACAGTGCAGGCTGTGGGGTCCTGGCACTGAGCTCTGGGAGATCCTGAGGTCTTCTTTGTCTGATGGTGGAGCTTCCCTGCTGGAAGGGTATCTGGGGACCAAGTTTGTAATGGGCTGGACACCCCCTGTGAGCTCTCAGTGGGCCACCCAGCTCCTCAGAGCTGTGCTGGGTCTGGAGTGTAAGGACAGGGACAGTGACATGGCATCCTGCCATCGAACAGAGACACAGGTAAACCCAGGGAACGAGACCCCCTGAGGCTTTCCTGTGTGTAGGGTTTTACCTGTGCCTTCAGGGCCTGTCCCGCTCTGTCTCTGGCTCCCCAGCTCTGTAGCTTCTGGGGGACGAGGGCAGCTCTCTGGGGGCAGAGAGAACTCACTCCACTCCCACTCTGGGCTAGGAGTCTCCTTCCAGTGGGGCCTCCCTTCCCTTCCCTCAGCTGCCCGACTGCCTCAGCCTGGCTGCTCCTGCCTTGGCCTTTTCCAGGAGCCTCCTTACAGCTCTAAATACCTGACAGATCCCATTTGTTCCTGGAACTCCTCCATTTGGTTGAGCCCAGAGTCTGGCTGCAGGAGACACTGGCAAAGTAAAGACTGAGGTGTGAAGAGAGCAGGAGGAATATTTCATTTTTTGTTTAATAGATGTATTGAAAAAAGCAGTTGGCTCCAAGAGGTGCCAGTTCTGTGACACAGGTAAACTGTGGCCAAATCCCTGAGCATCGTCTCTTGCCATTGCCTTTTCCCGAGGGATCCCTCTTCTGTTGGCACAGATGAGATTTAAGGTGCCCTCCCAGTTTCAAAGCACACTGGATTGCAGTCACATAACGGCCCTGACTCGTCAAGGCACAGTCAAGGCCAGCCCTCTCCTC